AGGTGACCTGCCTGTCCCTGACCTGCTGCTTCCTCCTGTCCTGCAGCAGCCTTTTACCTGTGCCCTTCAGGCCCCTGAGGCCCCTGTCCACTGTGTGCAGCCTTCTTCCTCTCAGGTTCTCCACCATGCTGTTTTCCTGCGTCGGAGCCCTTCCCAGTGTTGTAGATATTTGGGGCTCCAAGGTGGGATCCAAAATGCTGCGCTGTATACGCCTGACAGTGTCTGCTTCCTTCTTAACCTCCTCCATGTTTTTCTGAATTTCTACATTTGACCCATTTCTGAGCAAATTCAGCTCTTCCAATTTGTTTTTCTTGGATTCATGGATAAAGGAGGAGTTCTTTATATCCTTTTTTAAAGAATCCGTGTTATCTCCATGAAATGCATTTGGAAAAAGCCTTGCAATGAGTGGCAGTAGAACTGACTGCACATCCTCTGGGTTTCCCTCTGAGAGATAGGGCACCACGTAGCTGAGGGCTTTGATCACGTCACTTGGGTCATGAAACTTGAGCTGGTCGCTCATGATGCCTGACCAGGGGGCCACACTTTGCTGCGAAGATGACGTCTCAGACTCGAAGCTCAGCTGGGGCCTGGGGCTGTTGTTCCGGGCCTGTAGTGCCTTTAAGAGCCTCCCATCCACAATCCCGATGGCTGGTGCCTCACGGCACCACATGGTTTCGGACAGAAGGGTGCTGTTACAGCCCAGCTTGACTGTCAGGTACAGCACCTCGATATCACTCTTAACGTGGCAGAGGCAGCTGGCTATGTGGCTCGGGAAGATCAGTTTTTGCAACTCCAGAGTCATGGTGAGGATCTTCTCCAGCACTATAGGGGACACATATGTTGCTCCCAAGTCTAGATATTTTAATGCTGGTAATTAAAAAAAATATGGATCTTTGATAGTTGACAGAGGGTTATTGTTGAGGACTACTTGATGTAAAAACTGCATCCTGTGCCATGCATGAAATGTTCCGTAGCTGATCTGAGAAACAAAATTGTAACGAAGATTTAAAAACTGCAAAAAGGGTAGTGAGTCAAATGTCCCCCTTTCAATTGAATGTATTTTATTGTAGGATAAATCTAAGTACTGCAGGAACAGCAGGCCTGCAAAGGAGGCTTTTCGTAATTCAGTTAGGGAGTTTCCACTGAGATTTAGTTTCTCAACCCACTGGTAATGTTCTCCAAACATTCTTATCAAGGGAAGAAATAGAATGTCCTTGGAAATTTAAGATGGTGAAGGTCCTGTTGTGGGCACTGGGCTCGAGGGCAGGCACCTCATGCAGCCTGCAGGGGCTGAGGTCAGTGCAAGACAGGGTCTCCTCCTGGCAGGAACAGAGCTCACATATGTCCTTGTGTGTCGTGCTGCTCTGTGCACTTAGCACAGTTACAGCCTTCACCTCCACTGGTTGAGTGGTGACTTCAGTCAGGATTGGATGCTGAGCCTGAACCTGGTCTGGGCACGGCAGCATCACCCCAGTCTGTGTTACAGGAGCTGTAGATTTCTGCAGGGATGGAGAGTGTGTAGCCCCTGTGGAGAGCACGGCAGTGCTGCTGGGATCCACATGGGAAGGTGGACCTGCAACCGGGCGTGATGGGCTATGTTGAGTGGGCTCCTGACCAGGACTTGGAGCTCCCGTCTCCGGAGGCACTGGAGGTTGAATGACAGGCTCAGCTGGGTCTGCAGGCTGGGAGGAGGGTTTCTGCACAGCTGGAGGAACTCTAGCTTCTGCAGTCCACGGTGGAGTTCTGGTAAGCTGTGGGTCCAAAGGTCCAACTGTGCCCAGAATCAGGTTTGGTGGTGGAAGCGTCACCTTGGTGAGCCTTGCGAGAACAGCTGCAGACCCAGAAGCAGTTTTTGGAACCTCTCTCACCAAGGTAGCTTGGCACGCAGACCTTTAGGTGGGGCGGCAACCTTTTCCAGCTGTGGGGACAGCTGTCCCGCAAACCTCTGAGGTGGAGACAACATCTTGGTGGGCACCGAGGAATCCGGGTAAACAAAGTCCCCAGGCTCTTCTGGGGGAGTAAGAGCAGTGAGTGATTCAAGC